GAGGAGGAGCAGGAGGAGGAGGAGGAGCAGGAGGAGCAGGAGGAGGAGGAGGAGGAGGGGGAGGAGGAGGACGACGAACAGGAGGAGGACCAAGATAGCGAGTTCGGACGGCCGGAATGGCAACGAGGAAAAGTGGTGCAATGCCCATCAGGAAATTCAGGAGGCAACTACTGGGAGGTCTTCGTCGGAGGTTATCCCTCGTGGCGCTCTACGACGAGCGCTTTCGATTCCACCCCCGGAGGGATTTAAAAATACGAAGCCCCATTGGGGGGCCGTCACGCCAAATTAGGCCGCAGAGCAAGCGGGATTAAGCCGGATTAAGCGGGATGAATCCGGATTAAACGGGACAGGGCAAAGTCAGAATTAGACCTGCCAGGAGTTGCATCCGAAACAAATGCTGTCCAAAACCGATAGCGGCCGCTGTTGGACAGGCGGCTTTTTTTCCCTCAACAGGAACAAGGCCCGCGACGGCACCAGCAGCCTCTCCTGTTCCAAATGGGCAGGAACTGCTGTCGGTATTCGTACCCGTTCTTTCCGTACCCATTTCGATCGCCCCGAAAAAAGCTCACGCCGTGGATTTTCTCGGTGCCTCCTGGCGCTGGGTGCGCCAGTGCGTGGAGGAAGGCGCCCGGCGGCGGAGGAAGGGGGGCGAGCGAGGGGAACGATCCTCATCCTCCATCCCCTCATCCAACCCATCCCTCCCTCCCTCCATCCTCCATTCCTCCATTCCTCCATCCTCCATCCTCCATCCCCCCATCCTCCATTCCTCCATTCCTCCCTCCCTCCCTCCATCCTCCATCCCCCCATTCAACCCATCCCTCCATCCTCCTCCATCCCCCCATCCAACCCATCCCTCCCTCCCTCCATCCTCCATTCCTTTTGCGGATAGAGAACTCCTCCCTGTCGCACCCCGAGGCCAGTCGAAAGGGCGGGCCGGGCGTCTCGCCTGAGGCTTCCTCACCACTGATGACCACGATGCTCAAGAACTGACAACGGTTCAGAGATGGAGGGCGGGTCGGTCTTCAACATGTGGCTCTCGCCTCAGTGACACGCGCATTCGTTGTAAAAAACTGCAAGAATCTCACGGGCTGAGGGTGGGTGGTTAAAAAAATGTGGTTTTCGCATGAGCGCCGCGCACATTCGTTTTTAAATTCACAAGGAGCTTCACGGACTGGGGGCGGGTCGTTTTCAAACTGCTGCTCTCGCCTCACCGCAGCGCAATAACAAATTCACGGATTGAGGGCGGGTCGTTTTTCAAAATGTGGCTATCGCCAAAGCGCCGCGCGCAGTCGTTCAAACAAATTGCAAAAGCTTCACGGATTGAGGGCGGCTCGTTTTCAAAATGTGGCTCGCCTTAGCGCCGCGCACATTCGTTTTAAATATGTGCCAGGGATTCACGGATTGGGGGCGGGTTGATTTCAAAATGTGGCTCTCGCCTTCGCGCCGCACACATTCGTTTGGAACATTTGCAAGAGCTTCACGGACTGAGGGCAGGTGGTTTTCAAAATGTGGCTCTCGCTTTAGCGCGGCGCACATTCGACTTAAAATGTTGCAAGACATTCATTGGTTAACGTACCAGAAATGGCGTTCTGGAACGAGTCAGGAGCGTCAGGGCGCGACAGTTACGTTGATTCGCGGGGCTGAAATCCCAAGAGTGGTGTTCTGGAACGATTCATGGACGTCAAGAAGTAACAGTCAGGTTAGCTCGTGGCGTGAAGGTCCTGGAAATTGTGTGTTGGCACGCTTCAAGATGTTCACACGGTTGTCCCCCAACGGGGCAGTTCCCTCAGGGGAGATGACCCCTTGTAGGGGCCTATGAGGAGGGATCTTAGAGAGAGGATGTATTTCAACATCGTTGATGAGTCCTCGGATTGCGCTCGTCCTCTTTGACAAACACCAGCGCGAACGCCCAGTCATCCGCGCCAGAGGCCACTGTCGCCACCGCATGCCCAAAAGGGGGACAAAGACGGGTGGCGCCACCGAACAGAGCATCCAGATTACGCTAGGTGCGGCCAGCTCGAATGATCTCCGCCGTGCGGAGAAGCTTCTCGAGCATGTGCCGTTCTCATTCATGGAGAAACAAGCTGGCGCTCGCGACAGGCCAGCCAATACCCTCGCTCCCCAGCTGCCTGGGGAGGTTGGCCAGCACATCCGCGAGACAGATTGAGAGAAATCATCACCCCTCCCAGCCCGCACACGCAGCACACCACACACCAAATACGCCGCCCCTCCTGCCCAGTGACTGCGACGGGATGCACGACACGCTCCCTGTCGCCAGCCTGCAGGACCCTGACGCACGCCAAAGCCGCACGAGACAACGCAGGAGGACGGACCGGTGGACGTGGCAGGACAGCAAGACGCGGCGCGTGGGACTTCGCGCCCCTGCTGCTGCGCGCTTGAGTGGAGACATGCATGCAGTCATGACCGCACACCCCGGGCCCAACACGGGCAACCCACAGCGCACAACGACGAAAAACCGTAGCATTGGCCTTACGTCGCTTACACTGGTCCTCCTCCTCCTCCTCCACCTCCTCATCCTTCCTCCTCCTCCTTCCTCCTCTCCTCCTCCTCCTCCTCCTCCTCCTTCTCCTCCTCCTCCTCCTCCTCCTCCTTCCCTCCTCCTCCTTCTCCTCCTCCTCCTCCTCCTCCTCCTCCTCCTCCTCCTCCTCCTTTCGACGATCGACAAATCCTCCAAAAGACCTAGACCTGCACAATGGGTGTGCTCTGCCCCAGAGCCCGTCGCGAACTTCCGCACTTCGGCGAATCGAGCAACCTCGACAGGCCCCCTGC